AGTATATTGTTATGGCAAAATACGTTTGCCTCATCGACAATCACACCAAAGAATGTGAATTGGCAAAAGGCCTGGCCTTCCTTGAAAATCATACCTGCCCTGTGACCCAAGGGCCAACGCGTCAATCTCACATTCTGCACCGTCACGGTTCGACTCCCGCTGGGGCTGTTGACAAGACTCAAACGAGGCGAAGTCGAAACTGCAGTCCACTTCTGTCTGGACGAGAAGAAATTTTAGGAAAGGAGAGCTATGTACAATTGAATGAAAGCGACAGCTCTACTCATATGATTGTGGGAAAAATCTAGAAAATCACCTTAAACGAAATAGGGTGAATGCACGACCAACTGAGTATGCAAGTGTGTGCTTAAATGCGTGTGTATGTGCATGTGAGAAAGAGGAAAATAGTGACGCCTACCGTAGAAGTGATTGTTTTGGGTAAAGTCAGCTGCTTTGAAACCAACCCAACGAAAGGGTTGGTGGCTGACACATTCAGATAGACCGTGTAGTCAAGGAGTTCACCGTTTATGGTAGTGGGCGGATCCCAGGCCAAAGTGAACCAGGTCGTAGAGACGTTGTTGAGTCGAACGTTCAGCGGTGGCGTAGGATCTGGTATTGCGAAAAAAAGGGAAAGGTCGGCAGGCAAATTACAGCCTCATCAAGCTGAAAGGGGTCATTCAGCTGGCATGAACGGCAGGTACCACTTACTGGATGGCGGAAGGGTCACAAGTACAGAAGTGCCAATGGCGAATATGTTGCTTGCGAAGAGTGGAGTCAGAGTGACGGTGTATGGGACGCCTCGTTGAAGCCCAGTGATTTGAGCTGGACAGAGAAAAGTGCAAGATGGAGAGGTCAGGGCTGGCATGTGTCAGGAAAATGGAGCTGCGCCCCGAGAGGCTGTTAGTTTTGGAGAGAGGAAAGTGATTTATGACAAATGAGCCAGCGATCGAGACCTGGCGCCACCAAAAACATGAATGAGAGTCTAGAGTTTTGCGCAAACCAATTGTATTTCACCTATCATTATGATTTATTTATTAATTGCTAATAATAATAAATATTTGCTATTAATTAAAGCATTACATATTGTTGATAATAGATTAAATTTTGATTATTCCCACAGTGACATGAGTAGAGCTGACGTTTTTATTTAATTGCACAGAGCCTTACTTTCCCAAGACATGTTCTCTTCTGGACAGAAGTGAACTGCAGGTTCGACCTCGCCTCGGTCTTATCAACACCCCAAGCGGGGGTCGAACCATGACAGCGCAGAATGTGAGTTTGCCGCGTCAACCACTCAGTGACATTGGCACGAATGCCTTTGGGTGACAGGATGTATGTTATTAGACTTTAAATATTATTTCACGTATTATTTTGCGTTCTAATGAGGCCCAGATGAGTTCGAGATTTTAGTCTGATCCATCGAAGAGGAGAAGAAAAGTTGGGAGGCAAACCTGACTGGAATCCCGTCTCATCGTTGGGCTTATCAACAGAAGCGACATGGACCTACTACAATCCTAAAAAGTAGTCATCCTATGATATTAAATATAATTTGCACATTTAAAGTAATTTTTCACTTTTACTCTCACAATTTGAGAAGTAGACCGAAGAAATACCGACTCGCGATGCTCAATTCACCTGAAACGTCTCGGTCTGATCGGAGAAAGTACCACTAGTTTCATGAAAAGGAATTAACTGGAATGACTAAGGCCGGAAAAAAGGACGGATATTACTTACATCTGACAGGGTAGCAATGAATTACCGGCCATATTAACATGCAACTTCAACAAGAACGGTGTTCAATCTATTTCGTTTAAGATGATGAAGAACTAATAGTTGAGTTTTTCCTTACTCAGATGAGTAAGCATAACGTTTCCATTGAATTTCACAAAGCGTTGCTTCCCAAAATTATTTATGAAATTCCATAAAAATTTGATGTCTACTCATTAGATTGAGGTAAAATTCAGTTACCAATCAATCTTTACCCAAATGTACGAGATGATACACAGATTTATTCAAGATGTAATGGTCGTTTGGAAGGCCTAATTAAAAAGGAAAATAACAGATAACTTACCTGAACTAATAAATTCAACATTCATCGACTGATAAAGCAACCCTGGATGAGTCCAGATGAGGTCGAATCCAGAAGGTTTGCATTTGGAGACATTGACTGGTATCCAATCGAGCTGAACTATATCATTTTGCCGTCCTACGAAACGAGTCGTAATATTAGTGGTGTAGATCGAGGCTGAAAGTGAGAGTCAGCGAGAGTGAGCTTGGTTACTCAGTAAAAATATTGAAAGTTTTTCATTTGAAATAAGCTATTGAATCATAATTAGGTGAATGTCTGATATAAGGTTCCAAAAATAATTATGTATAAATATTGAATAAAAAAGTGTCAAATTTTGAAAGCAAAAACTGCCATAGAAGTAAAGGATTATAGATGGAGGACATAGAAAAAAAAGTAATGTTTAGAAATGCAGAGTTATGGTTAGTAGAATTGAAAATCATATTTAGGTAAAATATTAAGTAAAGGAAAAGAAATAAACTATTTCAATGACTGAAATAATGGAAATAAGGTTAAACGAAATTAAAAGAGAGGAGAGAAGTGAAATAAGGTAAAAATGAAGGAAATTACATAAGATAAAGTGAGAATC